GGCTAAGATACACTTATTTTATGATTTTCAAGTTTATGTTAAACTTGATTCATAAAAAAATTAGTTCACTCATATTATATCGAATCACGTGATTTGACTCCGCTTTAGACGACCCCCTTTTTTAGAAATTATAAACCTTTTAAAAGATAGTAATTATTATACATTTTCTATAATAAATCCAATTTTAATTCAAATTAAAAAATAATTTGCACTTTCTATTTCACATAATGTTAACTATAATTATAGGACCCCGGACATCACATATATAACTCATAACTGATCTGCATGAATTTAAGTACTTTTTGCTCTTGCTAAATAGACCTAATTTGCTAAAAATCAAATTATCACATTTCAAATTTATACTAATTTGCTAAAACTCAAAATATGAGTTAATGATTTTTTCTTTTATTATCAATAAAAAAATAAATGATTAATATAAATTAAACTGCCAATTTTTATAATTAAAATATGTAGATTATAGATAAAATAATAATTAATAAAAATAATAAATTAAATAAATAATTATTAAAAAATAAAATGTTGCGAAACTAAACGGACGGGTTTTGGCCCGCATTATGCTTAATTTTGGCCGGAATTATACTTAATTTTGGCCAAAATATAACCTGGACCCCGAAACTAATATTTTTAAAAATATTATTTATAAAGTTAAAAAAAAAGGATAAGTTAAATTTAAAAAAAAGTACCAATTTGTTCAAATATAAAATATGACTTTGTAAAATCAATACAATTTACTAAAACTCATAATTATGACTATTAATTAATTTTCAATCAATTTGCTCTATCTAAAATTATGAGTTTAACCTAATTTTGATTGAATTTGCTAAAACTCAAATGTGAGTTATATATGTGATGTCCGGGATCCTATAATTATGATAATTAAAATAAATATTTAATAATTTTATTTTATAAGATAAATAATAATAATAAAGATCAACAATTTACAATTAATTTATAAAAACTCAAACTAAAAAATCCTATAAATACATGAATCATGTTGAATAAAGTTAAATCAGCATTTTATATATCAATAAATCATTATTAGAAATTTTACTAACCATTTTTTATCTTTTTATATTGTAAAATTATTACCTCTTAACATAGTTAATAAATTTTTTTTAGTCATTTTTATGTTAAATATAAAGAATTCTATTATATACTTACATCAGAAATAAGTCTAAATCAATAATCATTCTCACTTAACTGTAGCATTACTTCTTAAAATTCATTTAACAATAAAATTTAAAAATCTGAAACTCAAAAACTTTATTTTTAATAAAAAAATTGGTAAATCTGAAACTTTCTTAAATTATAATTAGTTTTAAAAAAGCATAAAAATAGTTTATACAATTAAATTTATTATAAAAAATAGGTTCAGATTAAATTTTAACTAAACTAAAATTTTGAAAAAATAGGTTTGATAAGCATTTTTACATTTATTAAGTCCTTTTTATGAATAGGTTTTATATTTAAAATATATTCAAAATTTTATTAAAATATATTTAATTTTAATTCATGATATACTTATAATATATTTAAAAAATATGCCTAAAATACTTTTAAAATATACTTTTAATGTATTTGTTTTTTGTTGTTCAAGTACTTAAATTATATTTAAAATAGGACAATTTTAACGCTTACTAGGAGTGAAATTCACCTCCTAGTGAATTTTATTAGAGGTGAATTTTACCAGTAAAATTGGTAAATTTTAATATTATGTATTTACAAATTTTTTTCATTTGAATATAAAAAAATGTTAACTGATAGTGAATTTGCTTGTAATTTATTTACTGTGATTAAACGATTATGTGATATAAAGATAAATTATTACACAAAAAATTTTATCAGATAAACGAAATTGTTTTATTTATAAATGCAATGTTAATCTATAAAAACAATATTAAACTTAAGGTTGCTTGCCGAAACTAGGGAGTTTCGGCATGCCGAAACTGCCGAAACTGCCGAAACTAGGTTTCGGCAAGCAACTGAAAATGCCGAAATGCCAAAATGCCGAAACTGCCAAAACTGCCAAAACTGTTTCAGCGTTTCGGCACAGTATATCATATGATATACATATAGTTTTGGCATTTCTTAATTCAGTTAAGCTCTGATCAGTTTTTTAACTGATCATTGATAATCTAAAACGGTTTTTTAAACTGTTATCGTTATTTTTTTTTAAAAAAAACTTTTTTAACGTTAAAAAGATAATTTAACGTTGAATTTTATGATCGCCCGCCCACCCTTTATTTTAATGTTAGTATATTTTACTAACGTTAATTTTTTTTAATTTTTTTCTTGAATTGTATTAAAGAAACGTACAAACGTTTCTATTTTCTTATTTTTTAGGATACCGGACTTCTAGAAACTTGAAAGAACCCGGACTTTGGTAAGTATATGGGGTACTGTGTTTAAATTGTGTTAAAGAAACGTACTAACATTTCTTTTTTCTGTTTTTTTAGGTTACCGGACTCCTAGGAACTTGGAAGAAC